ATGAGGAATAAAAGATTAGAGCAGCCTGATGCAGGATACGGGTGTGTTTAGTAACAGGAAGTGTGCAAACATCTGTATGAGAGATAAACTGACAGAGAGAGGCGGTGACAAAGTGAAAACCTCAAGCTCAGTATGTGTCTCTATCAGAGGACGTATGTCTATATTTAATACTGTGAAGAGAAACGAGCTGCTGCTGATGTGGGTGTAACACGTACATGTTCCTCACACACATGATACAAAACAACGCAAACACAAACCAAAGATTAAACCTAAAGCAGCAGCAGTCAAACTGTCCACATAACAGACTAGATTAGCTATGAAAATTCAGTGAGGATAATTTAACTTCTACTTTTCCAACAGTGATATAACAATGTCCTGATATGTCGCTAAGCAACACATGATGTGACTGCAGCTGATAAACTGTGACTCTGTGTGACGGCTCACATTTCTGATGTAAAGAAAAGCACACAGTGTGATCTGATATTAACTCCTGACTCCATTCTGGGATATGAAACTATAATACATTTTAAATTATAACTTTAAGTAATTAACAAAGTTACTGTTGATGTTTTATGAGTAAATGCTGCAGCTCTCTTGTAAACACTCGTATGGATCCTGCTGCAGCTCTTTATTAAACTCAGAGAAAAGACTCCTACAAACATCTGGACGCAACAAATTAAACTTCAGCTCCTGTTAACATCTTGAGAAAAAAAAAAATATATATATATATATAAGCTGTTTGTGTTTTCAGTGCAGTAAAGTTGTATTTTTATGGACATTTCATTTTGTAGATTGGATGTAGAGCAAAGTGAACGAAAAATGTGTGTTGGGATGTGAGCGCACAAATTGGGCCTTTTGCTTGTTTTTGTACCAATATTGGTGCTGAAATGTGGAAGAATCGTTCCATAAATGACTTCACACAACTCAAAATGCTGCTGCTTTTGTGTGTCTATCTGTAAATGCAAGCAGTCCAGATTTGCTGAACTGCACGAGAAACTGATATGGAAAGGTTGCCAGGTCTGACCTGTGAGATCATCATCGTGACTTTTACAGAAAATGAGCAAGGTGCTCATTCAGACATGAAGACGACATGTTTAGCTGCTGTTTAAATAACAGAAAAGAGTCTAAAAGGGGCAACGAGTCACATTTGTTTCCAGACTTAGATATCTGCACTGTAGTCCTTTTTTCATTTGATTTTTTTCTGGCTTTTGGCCTTTATAGGCACAGGCTGGAATCAAACCTGAGCCGCTGAGTCTGAGTACATGGTGAGCTACCAGCGAGCTACCAGGGCCGTCTTACAGACATGTACGGAAATATTTCACTCATCCAAATGACCACTGAGGCTGTTCAAATGACTCATCTATTAGATAAGGATTATTAGCTGTAATGTTAATTTGCCCAGTGTGCAAATGACGTACGATTTCACATTATGCTCTTGTTACCATCAGTGCATATTTAAATGGGGCCCGTTTTTCAGCTGTGAAGTAGATTTGAACCCACCAGAGTCAAATTTAGTCTGTCTGATAACAGACCAAAGTTTCTGGTGTCTTGGAGCTCAATTCTCCAGAACCAACAGGGAACCGTTGCTTAGTGCAAACACCCACTTTGTAAGCAGCTGGAAAACAGCTTGAATTGTTTATAAAACTGCTTCTGATGTTATTTTAGTGAAATGTGCAGTCAGAGGGGGAAGATATTTTACATCTGTGGTCATCTTCTTCTCATTTTACCCCCACACACACCCACAAATATACAAACATGTGAATACATTCTATCCCTCTTACACAAACTACTTTGATACTTGTGAGAACATCCTTTGACTCTAGTTGTAACCAACCACTAACCAACCTTATTCTAACATTAAGCCCCACGCACAGCAGGCAAACAGGCCGGATACTGTCGGATGAACATGTCCTGGTTCAGTCCTACAGGGAGCTGACTGCTGCTTTGTTTTCCATTTTGTGCAAATTTCATAAATGCTACTCATTTGAGAGTAAAGTAGAAGCAGATATTATTTTACAAACACCAAACTTGCACAAAACAACTTCACAAATAGAGCTTTACTTCTCAGTCTGTTGGAAAGGTTTTCATTTCATTCAATATAAAGCAGGTTCTGAGGTAACCTGCTTTATGTTGCATTGTCTCCGCAGTAAACATCCTGTGTTCGTTCTGTTATCGAGCTCCTGCATCCTTGATAGCATCTCAGACATTTTATAAAGGAGAGACTCTGTACTTGATTCTTGCTATGCAAAACTTGTCTTTTCTTTGAGACCAAGAAAATGATTGTGCAGGAATGATCCTGCTTTTAATCCCCTGGTGTCTCAAATTTTACATTTTGCAAGTATTAAAATATGACTATATTAGAAAATTGTCTCACACAGAAGCAGCATTGGCTGGATGATGAGCCTGGTATCTGAATGTAGGTAAAAAATTAGATCTTTCATTTGCTGTAGCCTGTTTTGACACATGATGGTGTGACCCTTAAAAGTAGACCCAAAGTGTACTTTTAAAGGTCATTTATCAGAAAACTATAAAAACTATTTAACTGGTACAATTTTGCCGTTGAAACCTTGATACATGTGATGACACTGATGCTCTAAGTTGATTATAGAAAAAACAACACGCTCAACAGAAATGAGATTTTAGCTTTAGATGCTACCAGGAGTGGGTGTAAAATTCAGTTGGTTGCAGTTTTAAACAGGGGTGGAATGTGGTTTTGAGCCCAGAAAATGTCAAGTGTTTATCTCTGGAAGTTATGAGAGCTAAAAACACAAAATCTTGACCCACTCCTTTGTACCACAAGCGCTTGTAACTCGGAAAACATCCATCGTGTGAAGGTAAACTTTTGCATGGCCTCATTAAATATTCTAATGTCATCGACAAAGAAAAGCAGCGGATTGTGAAGGGGCTTGGTGATAACTTTTTTCAGATTTTTTTAATATGGAATGACCTTATAGTGAGACAGGATGGAAAAAAAAGTCAAGGAGATATTGTGTTTCCACCCCTGAGTTGCCCTTATTTCCAGACTTTGTGCTAAGCTAAGCTAAACCAGAATAACAGAAGGGAGAGCGTATTATTTTAACATCAACATCCCATATTTCGGTTATAAACTAGTGTTTCCAGTCTCGTGGAGGGAGCTTCAGGACTTTGCTGTTGTCTGCTGAAATTCTCCGTTGCTCTATATTTTATACATTTAATGAAATCTCAAAATTCTCAGGCTTTTCTTTTACATACATTTAGTGGAATCTGTTCATGAACCTCCCTGTTGAAGTGCTGTTTAGCAGCGTGGTCCTACGGCTGTGGCCTGTAGGTGGTATTGTATAGGCTGGCAGGTCTGTGTAAACTGAAAACCTCCTGAGCAGACAGTCACTGACAAAGAATGTTCCAGCAGTTCACACCCACACAGTGTGAAAACCTCTCTGCCCTGATGGAACCACACCGGTGCTGGTCGGGGATCAGCTCTGCATCCAGACAGGAGCTAGACTTTAAACTAGATCATTTCAGGGGAACTCTGTTGATTGATAGCAGTGGTTTTGTGTGTGTGTGTGTGTGTGTGTGCGCGTGTGTGTGTGCCTAAAAAAATCAATTTACCAATTAGCACTTGACAAAACAGCTTACTTTATTAATGAAGTCTAAACGTCCAGACTGTAGAGTTGTGACAGAGTCAAGGCACCTCATGTGGAGAAGGTGTATTCCTGCTATTTGTTTTTTCTTTTCTTTCTTTTCAGAAAACCTCCTTCTTCCTCCTGATCAAGTTGCATCCACAAAATAATAAGTACAAAACGGTTTCTGCTTTCGGTTTTCAGAATAAAAATACTTATTGAAGTTTGGTAAGTATTTATGAGGAGGGGGATTTTTTGTCTCGTGAGGTTAAAGCTCAGATTATAAAGCAGAAAGTTGAAACAGGAAAAGCAGTTGTAGTAAAAAGTGTGAACATTGTGTTCTGTGGATGTAAATTGCACAAAATAAAGTTTGTTTTTTTTTATGCTGCAGCTGAATATTCTGAATGTCGGTTTTAAAAGTTGTATTTTCATCCATTCATCCATCCATCCATTATCTATACACCGCTTAATCCTCATTAGGGTCGCGGGGGGGCTGGAGTCTATCCAATAATTGTATTTTATTTGGTATTTTGTTGTTATTTTTGGTAATTAGATTGATACATGATGAATGGTGTTAAAGTAGAAAGGACTCTGATGTACCCAGTGCCAGTGAAAAATAGAAAAAACTAGATATTTTCTTAGATGTCAGTCAGTTAAAGATGAATATTTTTACATGCAGATTCCTCATTTCTGTTTTGTTTACTCAGAAAGGTCACTAAATTACTGTAAAATCACAGCCAAGTTGCATTGTACTGATGCTTCATTACAAAAACAAAACTGTTTGCACAACAAAGCACTGCTCAGAATAGCGACTTGACTTCAGTAGCCAAGAATACGACTGTTAACTTTAAACTGATCCCCCTTTTTAAAAAAATAAATAAATTAAGATAAGATAAGATATGCCTTTATTTATCTCACAGTGGAGAAATTCACATTGTTGATAGCAGCATTCAACTGAGGTACACATATACGAGACAGGGAAAAAAAAGTACATATAAATATAAGAAATAGTGCAAACAAGGAGAGTAGTGCAAACAAACAATATTATTTTACATTAAGGAAAATTACTTGCCTTGGTTTGTAAAATATATTCAATAGCCTACCATAGCCTACAACACTATACAAATACAGTGTATTATCCAAAAGTCAAGTTAAAATATTAAACAGTGTACATCACTGTAGAGTACTGATATTAAAAAAAAAGCCATTAAGTAAATTATAATTGTAGCTCTTGTAATATAAGTGACAACCACAGCTGCTATTTGACAGTAAAATGTGTCACACTGTAGGGGACAAAATATTAAAAAGGCACACACAAAAAAAAGTTAATCAAGAAGCTTTTATTCTAATAGCAAAATCACTGCGCTTCCGGTAAGACGCTGCAGACAACCAGCAGCTTGACGAAGCTCCTTAACTTCAGAACAGCGACTCGATCTGCGGAATATCTGCCGTGAGCAGGAGGAGAAGAGGAAGAAGAGGTTCAGCTGCGGACCTGAAGGAAAGCAGGGAGCGGGACAAGGTGAGACACCTCTGCTGACGGAAGCTTTGTGCTGCTGGAGGATCAGACTTGTGCCGCCGGAGGGATGGACACAAGGTGGAAGAAGTTCCACTGATGGCTCAGGCTGCGGCACAACTTTTCCGATTGTCTCTGGTTGAGTCGTGGACGGTGCAGCTCCAGGGACCGACGGGTTCATCTGCACCGCTGAGTTTGTTTAACCCGGGTGAGGTCAGTGTGATGCCAGAACCCAGCAGGCAGCAGCAGCAGCGTGTTCCTGTCAGACTGGGAACACAGGAGTCGCCTTTTTTCTTTTTTTTTTTCTTTTCTTTTTTTATTTCCCCAGGCCTGATGGAGGCACTGAGGAGGGGGGAAAACGTCAACTTCTTGTTTTACCAGTTATGCAAGCTGCGATTTACAAAAAACACACCATCCAGCAAGTTTTCGGGTTTTCTCTGAGAATGAGATGTAGGTTGAGCCAGAAAAATGTTCCCATCGCATTTACTGATTGTTTAAATACCCTCCAGACACAACCTCAGGGGCATCTTCCCTTTTAAAACTCCTATTCTGACACTCTGAGCGTGTCGTGGCTCCAACTTGATCCACAGGGTTGGAATCCACACAGAAGCTGTGCGCTATTTACGCACGTGGCTCAGCAGGTGACTCACTAACTGACCATTTGGCATCTTCTGACAGGCCTTTGTGACTTCATCCAGCTTTAAAAACCTAAAAGGTTTCCAGCACAGATTCACAGTTTCTACAGTCAAATCATCGGTTCAGGAGAGTTGAGCATCTTCAGAACTGTTCATTCTGGACATTTTTTTTTCTTTTCTAAGGATTGAACGGTTTTTAAAGTTCATAGTGTCAGAGTGTTTAGTCTTGTTGCTACCTCACAATGCTTTTTCCTTCATTCATCATATTTTTACATCATAATTATCAAAAAGTACAGAAAGTATCCCTCATAAATCTGCACTGTTTTATGGTGCTACATGACAGAGAAAGTGTCGACTCATTTAAAAGTTTGCACACATAAATGAAGGGTCATACAGTTTTTACCAGGCTGAATCTCTGAGCGATCGAACCAGCATGGCTGGCCTCCTGGCTTAAACATCCATCGCCCAGAGCTCCAGCGTATCCTCAGGAACATAAATGCCCAGTCTATAATGAGTGGCACACACGAACCATGCTATCCGTTGCAGATGCAGCAGGTCAGCCGATCCACAAAACTAGATCAGGCAAGAAAGCAGCTGTGTTGTTTTGAAGTTTGAACTCAGTGTCCTGACAGGCTGGAGTTGATGCAACCTGCACAAGCACAGTAAATCATCATGACGGAAAAGCTGTGACATGCAAAGCAATTTGCATAAAGGACCAACTTTGTAAATCCCAGCAGCTCATAGTCACTACCCCCTACTGCTGCATAGGGAGCATGCATTATGTGACAGAATATGATGTGGAAAATGAACCTTCTCTACATTTCTGCCTTTATCTCATACAATATGAAACCATGCGTTACCATTTCAAACAATCATCTGCATCAAACGTTAAGTGTAAAACTTGTGAAAGATTCACCTGTTGCAGCCTGGAGGTGATTAGCCTAGCTTAGCATAAAGACTGCAAGCAGGGGAAACAGTGAGCATGCTTCTGTCCACGGTTTAAAAAGCATCTACAGTTACATCTAAACCACACTTATCGATGTTTTTAGGTGAGGAGGAGAAGATGGAACTATTTCTCGCATTTTCATCCAGACTTTATTTCCTACGTGTTTTATTTGTTGATCCCAGGTCTTTCCTGTTTGTGATCTGGCAACCGTGACTCAGTTTCAGCCACTGCAGGAGGATTTCGATGAAGCAAAACATCCCAGATAGAATCCAGAGGCTGGCCTTTGCTTTCGCCTCTTCTCTCAACAAACTGAATGCTAAATATTTGTGTCTGCAGTCGTACAGCGGCTCGGTTACAACGATGAGTCAATACTCAGTGGAAATTGGGAAAACATGTACGAAAAGCTTATTTTCTATCAAAGTAATGATGATAAAAGCTGGTAATGTCTTAATAAGTCACAACAGTCCTGTAAATTGTGATGGGATGAGTTACAGTCATTATGGTGAATTACATTTATTATCTAACCAACACAGGAGTAATCATGTCGTCATTGATAAGGGGCGCCGGTTAGGCTGGCAGACCCAACTGTCTCCCCCACTTATTGTCTTTATGTTTCTTGGACGGGATGCAACTGTAAATGAACTTTCTCTGTAAGGGATCATTAAAGTATTATTGAATGAATTGAATGTAAAACTTTACTTCGACAGCTTAGAGCTTCTACTGTCGATCAGAATAACCAATGAGCTGTCAACTTCACTGCCGACTATTTTGATAACCGAAAGTAACTTTTTTTCTTCTTAAAGAAAAAAAAGTTCTCTGACTCAAGCTTCTTAAATGTAAATATTTTCTGGTTTCTTTCCTCCTCTTTGACTGACCATGTTTGGGTTGTGGATCAAACAAAACATTTGAGGACATCTTGATCAATTCAGAAAACCTTCGACAATTAAAGTTGGTTGCAGCCCTGTAGCCGGCAGCAATGCCGCAGAAATCCGGAAAGATTTAATTCTTGTGGCCAACCAGACACCATCTCCACCGCCAGCCACAATATTAGGTGCAACACTGCAGAGCTGCTGAGCAAATTGAAGAATGTTGGTGGTTTCATTTTTCATTTGCAGTCACGTGTAACATATTTACATGTTTTGCTTGAGCCACACTACAGGAGTGTAATTGTAATTTGTAGTTTTACTTATTTGATGCCACCTAAAACTGTTGAACACAACTTGAACGGCTGTTAATTGTTCAACCACCTCTGCAGGAACTACCCAGCGTGCACCAGTGAGCTGCTGTCCGTCATGGCGACCATTGTGATGGAGCGGATTGGCCGAGTGTTCATCAGCCTGCAGCAGATCAGGCAGGTTCCCCAGATGCTGACCGAGGCCGCTCCCTCCATGCCCGGCACCGTCAGAGACACCGAGGTTCCTTACTACTTCAGGGAGCGCTATGTTTGCACCGGCTACCGGCCGCTCAACCAGAACTGGCGTTACTACCTCCTGTCCATGTTCCAGCGCCACAACGAGACCGTCAACATCTGGACTCACCTGCTGGCCTTCCTGGTGTTTCTGGTGAAGCTGAGTCAGCTTGCTGAGACTGTGGACTTCGTTGAGGACCAGCATTCGTGGCCCCTGCTGGTCCTCATCCTGTCCTCCCTGATCTACTCGGCGTTCAGTGTCGCAGCTCACATGCTGGGTGGCAAATCTGAGCTGTGCCACTATTGCTTCTTCTTCCTGGACTACGTTGGGGTGGCGCAGTATCAGTACGGCAGCGCTGTGGTTCACTTTTACTACGCTGTGGATGAGGGCCTGCACGGACGCCTGCAGGGGATCTTCATGCCTGCTGCCGCTGTGCTCAGCTGCCTCTCGTGCCTGGGGTGCTGCTACGGAAAATACTGCAACCACAGCCAGCCGTCGTGGGTGCGGAAGGTGTGCCAGGTGGTGCCCTCGGCGCTTGCCTACATCTGGGACAGCAGCCCTGTGGCTAACAGACTCCTCGGCTGGTCCAGCAGTGACCCAGCCATCATCTACCACCTTGGCCAGGTGGCTTTCTTTCTCAGCTGTGCCTTCTTCTTCACCTTCCCCCTGCTGGAGGGCTGCTTCCCGGGACGCTGCGACTTCGTGGGACAGAGTCATCAGATGTTCCACGTTTTCCTGTCCTGCTGCACCCTGTGTCAGATCCAGGCCTCTCAGCTGGACTACCTGAGCCGCAGGAAGCTGTACTCGCACCTGCATGAGGCCGGCGAGGCTGCTGTGTTCGTGGGACTGTACGTGGTCACTGTGGTTACATGTGCACTAATTGCTGTTCTCATGCTGAGGAAAGTTAAACAAGTGCTTGAGTTCAAAACCAAGTCCAAATAACTAATTAATATGCATAGCATCTATGTGCCTTTCATTCCAGACGCTGCTTTGATAGAGAGGGAACTAATTATTTTTGCTGCCAGTAAAACAGTTCGTAGCAAAGAGGGATACACAACGGCATTAGGAGGTAGGATTTTATATTCTTATGTATTGCAATTTTTGTACTAATACACAGGGTGTCATTTAGTGGCAAAGGCTCAGACTTTAAAAAAAGAAAAAAAGAAGAAAAGTGAACGCATTCAAAAACAGATTCTCACAATTTACAAAGGGCTCATTCCATGTCGACTCACCGAACTTTGCTCGTTCATGTCGTGGATTTTCTTGAGAAATGCTCGTTTACAGAAAATTATTGAACAATGGACGTGCATATAGAACATCTAGCATGTTTTTAATTCATTTATATATATATAACCTCTAGGACGTTAACCTCTAAACCTCTAACCTCTAAACTGAAAATGTAGAAGCTTCATAAAAGCAGAGTTTATGTCAGAGCTGTTGTTGGATCGCATTCGATTTTAGAGATATAAAACCGTGCAGTCAACATAATACAAATAGCTACCTTTAAAACCGTATGTCCGATTACAACTGGTGAAAAGCACTAAAAATGAGCTACTTTCAAAAAATGAATAGTAGGATAGCGTCTTATATTATTTTAAATGATCTAAAGCTTATATTTTTTGGCATTTTCACCGTTATTGGATAAAGACTGGAGGTAAATTGGTGATGTGGGGAGCAGGACAATGGCATGTGTTGAGGGTCCAGGCTAAGTGTTGGATTTCTGCCCATGTGGTAACTGTTTGACTAGTGGGTCGCCTCTGGCCTGTAATTTATTTTTTTTTTCTTCTTTTGGGGAAAGACAAAATACCTGAAAAGTGTATTTCCAGCTCTGAAACTTTATCAAGACGTGCTGCAATCAGTTTTTTTTTGTGAGAACTACAATGAATCAATATTTGCTTACACGAAAATGAAAACTACTCGCTATAGAAATGTGTTAAAATTGAAGATTCGTCATTTGGGTAAAACGGTATGGAATGCTATTGATGTCAAACATTGAGCAACAACTCTTAAGCTGCAAATGATCCATCTGGTTTTGGAACAAATTCCCACCAAATCAAGTCAAAAATAATCAGCGATGCTGAGACTGAGAAGGAATCACAGATATGATGGATTTTAGCATGACGGCACAAACTAGAAGTTTTCACATGGATTTTTGTTTAAAGAAAATCCACGACATGAACTGGAAGGGTTGGGTGAGTTGGAATGTCAAAGGCTATTAAAGCTGGACTATCACTGCCGACAGTGTTTGACCATTTATGAGTGTTACTGATAAAAACCGACGGCGTGCAGTTGGGTTCGTTTAATCATCTGATTGTTGGAATTTTTTTGTGATAATATGTGGAATTACATCTAAAATGTGCAAATATTTATTTTTGATATTTTAAAAGTGTCGTACTTGAGGTTTTGTTATTCACACTGTGCCCTCATTTGACTCGATGATCGTTTTTGTCCTTCACAGTTCAGGAAAGATAAGAACATGTTTTTTAGAGGGCTGCAGTTGGTAGCACTGTTGCCTCGCAGCAAGAAGGTTGCCGGTTCGCGTCCCGGTGGGGCACCGGAATCTTTCTGCGTGGAGTTTGCATGTTCTCCCCGTGCAGTGTGGGTTCTCTCCGGGTTCTCCGGCTTCCTCCCACACAGTCCAAAAACATGCTGAGGTTAATTGGTGATTCTAAATTGTCCGTAGGTGTGAATGTGAGTGTGCTTGGTTGTCTGTCTCTAAGTGTGGCCCTGTGATAGACTGGTGACCTGTCCAGGTGAACCTGCCTTCACCCTAAGTCGGCTGGGATACGCTCCCCCGCGACCCTCGTGAGGATTAAGCGGTAGATAATGGATGGATGGATGTTTTTTAGATAATCTACAGTGTAGTAAATGTATGTCGTGCCTTTCTCATTGTGCCTTGAGAGCTCGTTATTTTCTCATTTGATGTGAAACGTTGCCTTGAAAAGGAGAGATCATGACTCATATTGCAAAAGAAACATCTGCAAAACAATCTCGGTAATTAATTTCCTTTACCTGTCGCTCGACCCTTGTGCAGATTCTTCAGAAGATGGAGCCTTCAGTTCAAAGATGCCTTCTCGTTGGGTTTATGTGTGTAGGCTTCACATCTCTGACGACACACTAGAACATGTTTTTTTTTTCTGTTGTGCTAATTTAACGTACTGCCTTTAGATTGTACTTTACTGAAGCTGGAAGTTCCATGAGGGATTTAATATATGATGAAAGTCTTAACTTTTTGAATGTCTTGTTGTCGACATGTTTTCTGTGTAGACTGTTAATCACTGTGTTGTGTCCTACTGTAAAACTTGCTTGTGCCTTTTGAATTATTACAAAATCAGTGATGTTACCGTGAGTGTACTAAAAAAAAAACTAAATAGAATGTGACAATTCGATGTCTGTGAGAGTTCATTCAGTTCAATTGATGCCTGCTGTCGACCAGGATGTGAAAACAATGCGATTTAGTTCAACAACCAGAGTAGACAAGACTTTCTTGTTAACCCACAACTTTTCTCACAACTTTCTTTGAGTTTCGTGTGAGAAACATTCACTAACCATGTGATGTCTCATCTCCTGACATCTTGATGGCCACTGTTTTATTTCCTTACTACTGCTTTCACTATGAGCAACTCTTAAACTTCTATAAAAATGCATGGATGAAGGTAATTGAATGAACGTGAGGCTGCAGGTGGATGGGTCTCTGCTAGCTTCAGACACTCAGTGCAATTTCTCATTCAGAATTTATTGAATCCGTCTTCATGAACAGAATAAAAGCTTCAGCTCCCTTGGAAGAACCTGCAGCCAGCGCATACTTTCATCATTTTAACTTAGTTTGAATCCGTAACGCTCACCCACGCTTTCTCCCAAAGTGCTTTTTCTCTTTCAGCGCCGGTTGTAATCTCCGCTGTCGAAAAACATTCACATTCTTGGTCCTCTTCTGTTCTGCTGTTATTACAGACATGTCTGAACTGGCTGTGACCCCCCTCGACTGCTACGAGCCCAGATGTAAAGACGGTGGAGTTTTGTGAAACAATTCACATTACTCAAGGAAGTGGTGTTCCCTACAGGCCACTACAAAACATACTCAACAGCGGTATCAGATTATTTTTTTCATAGAAATACTATAAAAATCAAGACATATGAATGAGGTTTCTTACATGTGTGGCGCAACCTACAAGTTCTAGTTTCACTGTGGCTTTCTGTTGGGGGGCATTTATCAGGAGCACATTGAACTTTGTGTGCAGAGAAAGGAACAGCAGGCTTCCAACGTATTTACATTGTTATCTTTAAAATATTGTACAATATGCATCTAGACTCCAGTCTCTTCTAAGTCAACATAAGATAGGTAATAGGTAAACTTTGATATCCTGACATTTTAGAACCGGATTCCTGCTGTTTTTAGAAAGATTTCTGTGTTCGTGCAGGCTCTGTCCTCGAAAAACATTAGTATACAAAGACAGATTTTTTAATGCAAATCAGTCGCCAAACCTGATGACCTTTTCTTTAAGGATGTATCAATGGTAAATTGGTCTCCATAGCAACCTGTTAAACAATGTTCCTTCTAGCAGGGCCTCGTCTGCTATTTACATATCGTACGGACACACTTGACAGCGAGATGCGGTGCATGTATGTTGATAATTTGTAAACCGAGATTAGCGAGCAGCCCAAAGTGAATCTGTGCCTTATTTGATTAGGCACGTAGAAAACACAGGCCTGTATTTCACTCTGCAGCTGACCAGTTAGATCACCTGCAATCATGAAATCTGCTATTGGCGTCAAGGATCCAGTAAACAGAACCAGAACAGGAAAGGGATATCGTGTTGGTATCTAGGTCAGTACAGGAAACTAAAGATCTTTTTCATTCCTGTCGAATGTGAGATGTGACGACTACAAACCTTCCTGGAAACCCACATTGAGTCAGTTGTTTGTCCGCATTTGTGAAACTAGTTTTGCTATGTTCCAACATGCGTCATGATCATAGTTCTGATTTCATTGCCTCACTCCATATCTAAACTGATAAGTCTGTTGGGTGTGACCTTTGCAACGCTCAGCTTAAGATACAGGACAGGAAATGGTTGTGTCCTGACTGTCTGGGTTGAGGAAAGCCATGTCTGACAAATGTATTATGAGCAACATCCTTCTGCTCTCTGTGATGTAGAAACAACAAGTGGTACACCTCCTGTTTAGAGATCACCTTCTGTTCTCTCGAGTAGCTTGTCTTGTTCCCATAAACAGGAGGTGAGGACCTGGGTTAAGTTGTGTAACCAAGGCAGTCGTCCAAGACAGAAAAACGCAAAGGAGCAAAGTTCGTCAGGCATCGGAAGAGCACCTGAAAGCCTCAGTGTTGGGTTCCTACACTACCGCTCAATCCTCGGGTAGATGCTGGAGACCCAGATGAAGATGGCATTTATGTCATGTCTGTCAAATTTCTGTTCATGTCTGCACATTATGTCTCGTCTTTCCTGTTTTATTTTGAAATCATTTCACTGGGTGTTCTGTTCTAGCTTTACTTCCTGTACCTGTCTTGTCTCACCTGCTCCCTGATTACCTCCCCGCACCTGTTTCCCATTTACCCTCATTACCTCGTGTATTTTACCCTGTGTGTCTCACTGTCTCGTCGCACTTCACAGTCCTTGTACCAGCGTTATCCAAGTTAAGTCACAGTCTGTTTGAGTCTCGACCTTGTTTCTGCTTTTTGACCTTGCCTTTTGTCTGCCGATTCTTGGATACTTCTGCCTGTTGGACTGATTTCCTGTGTACCGAACCCTGACTGCCATTAAACCTGTCTTTTGCCTGAACCTAATGAGTCAAGCATTTGTGTCCACCCATTCTGTTAGTGAGTTCGTGACAATTTATCAGCTTTGTATCTCGGCTGGAGGGGAGGGTTTGGCATCCAGGTGCTGAGTCTGCGACAGCCGAGAGTGATGGCTCCCTTCTCTAAGAGCACTGATGTAAATTATGTCTTCTGCCTAAAGCTGCAGAAGTCCACACAACCCCTTTGGTAGATGTCCAAAATGTGTGTCCATCCAAACTTCTATACAAGCACAAAAGTGTGGACTACATAGACCACATTAGATCAATACCAACAAGAACATAGCATAGTTTAAATCAACTACACGTCCACAGCTGTCTGTGTGCACATCTGCAAGTAAGT